TCCCTGCTCAGCAGGGAGTCTGCTTCTCCCTCTGACCCTCCTACCTCTCATGCTCTCTGTCTCTCATTCTTTCTCTCTCAAATAAATAAATAAAATCTAAAAAAAAAAAAAAGAACATTTAGTGTTTTTATACTTTATAGCACTAATACAAAATGAGGATACCAAAGCCTTCAATAAGTGGAGTTATAATTGTCTAACCTGCTTGGTGGGAGTCCAGTCTTGAAGAACAAAGAAGGAGGAAAAGTAAACTCAGCTTTTGTAGATGGAAGTGCTGCTTCTTTCTCTGAATTTCCAGTTCTTCCTGTTGTACCTTAAAAAAAAAGGGTTATTATAGCTTATTTAATAGATAATACACTAAAGGTGTTAAATAAATTTGTAACATCAGATTTGAAATTAAATATGAAGAATGCTTTTGAAGAATATTTAATAAAATTACCCTATTTTAGAACACCATTAGGTGAAAGGCACCAAAGATGGAATTGGGGATCAAAATATTCCCAACCATTAAAAAGTTCACACTAATGTCACTTAAAAGTCCAATAAGCTATAACTCTTCAGTCCTTTCATAAATTCCCTTAAATCTCCACAAATAAGTCCAAGATACTTGGTTATGACTCCAGGTTTCAGAGTTCAAAGACCTTGAAGAATTTTCCCCTTCTATGTTTACTGTCATTCTAAGAAAACCACCAGTGGCCATTTTAGCCATTCTGACCATTTTCTATTCAGATTCAGATGAATAACCTGTTCCTGCACTTCCATACCATTTGTTTCCTCCTCGTCATCAACAGTATCACCATCCTGCCAGTTCAGTACACATAGAAGCTTGAAGGAGTCATCTGTCTCTTTAATAACCTCTTTTCCCTCTTTATACTCATTTTCAAACCAGTTATCTACTTACTGCATAATTTCTCCCAGATTTAGCCACCCTTTCTGCTCCTAGCAGTTCTTTTGAGTATGGTCCAGTCATACTCCTTTATACTGGTGAAATATTTCTTTATGCTCTTTTGCCTTTATACTCACCTTCCTATCTTAAATTATCATTAATTTATTAAATTTAAACTAAGTTGCCCTATACTTGAATAACATCACACCATATTTTATGTCCTACTTAAATTCCACTGTTCAGTCTAAATTCAGCATCATTCTCTTTCCCCATGAGGCAAAAGCCAAGAAAATCTCAGACACCTTGACTCTGATACATTCAAAACATTGATTCAATTCCAGAAACCACCTACCTCTCACATAATCATTGTGTGAGAAAAAGAATATATTTGAACCATTAAAGTCAGATCTCTTATTAATACTACTGAACCCAATCCCTAATGGGTGTCTTCATATAATTAGGGTTTAACATTGACAGTTTAGAATTCCACTTCTTGAAAAAATCCATTTAAAGGCCCAGATCCTAGTGAGGGATGACGGAGGATCAGCACTAAGAAAATGAGGATAGAAAGAAAGAAATGGGTTTGACAGACACTTGAAAGGTAAACTGACAGAATGTGGTGACAAGGGAAATATACATGGTTCATCCATCAAACATTAAATATCTATAATCTATCATCTAAAAATCTATTACCAGAGGCTGAGACTAGAAAGAAAAATACAACAAAATCTCAGACCATGGGACCAGACACATGAACAACCAGAGCAATACAATAAATGCTACGTGTGTGAGAAAAAATGCTATGTGAACACAGAAAAAGAAATGCAGGGTGGTGGGATGGGTTAGCCCAGTGATGGGTATTAAGGAGGGCACGTATTGCATGGAGCACTGGGTGTTATATGCAAACAATGAATCATGGAACACTACATCAAAAACTAATGATGTACTGTATGGTGACTAACATAACATAATAAAAAATAATAAAATAATAAAATAAAATTAATTAATGAAATTAAAAAGAGAAAAAAAGAAATGCAATATTCTTTCTGCAGATGTCAGGAATATTGAGAGTTGACAGTATGGTTTCAACTGTTCCCCTGAGCTCCAGTAATTTATATCCAATGTCTTACATATCTAATAAACAACTCAATCTTACCATGGCCAAAACAAAGCTACTGATTTCCCACTATCCCCTGATCTGATCCTCTCCAAGTCTTCCCCATAAGTAAATAGCACCATCATTTACTGAGTTGCTCAAGGAAAAAAAAAAAAAAGAAATCCTAGCCATTAGCCAATAGATATGACCATCCTATGTCAATTTTACCTTTATGATACATACCGAATTCAATCACTGATTATGTCTACCCCTAAAATCCAGGTTAAACCTACTACCACTTCTCAACTGTTCTGCTAAATTTTCTCTCTGTTTTAGTCTTACCTCTGTAAAATCCATCCTCTATATACAGGCAAGCAATCTTATTAAAAAGTGTAAATCAACTCATGTCTCTCCCTTGCTCAGAATTCTCCAATAGCTTCCCAATGCAAACAGAATAAAACCTAAATTTATCATGGTCTACAAGGATTTACACTGCATTTAGGTTTTATTCAAATCTGTATCCCAAATACCTAAAAACAGTGCCTGGCATGCAATAAGTGCTCAGTATATATTTTTACTTGATTGACTTTGGGACTCAGCTTAAATTCAAAGTCTTTCATAGGACATGAAGTTTATAACTACATAATTTTTGGCCCAATTATCTAATTAATCACTATTTTTCCCATTAAGTGAGAAAAACTCTAAGATCACAAAGTCTAGGTCTATAATGCTCCCCTCCCCTCCCTACTCAAGCCTGAAATGCTTCCTGGCATAGTCAACACTCAATTACATGCTGGGAAGGGGAAAGGGAGAAGAGTTGAAGAAGAGGAGTTGAAGAGAGGGAAAAAAAGAGAAAGAAGAGAGCATAGATGAAAGATTATTTACAATAAGGGGAAAAGCAAGAAAGGCATCAGGAAGACTCAATACATTTTTAAACATGTAAAAATTATTTCTGTTTCCTCACTTAGTTCTCCTTTTCTCCTTAATTTCTTTGTAAAGTACTCATTAATTCTGAAAATCTTTGCCATTTTAGCAACTCCCCTAATCAACCAGCATCAACTTGTTTGTCTTCAGACGTTGCACACAGGATTACACAGCCTCAAAACTTGTTTAACCAGAATGGGACTACTTTTTTTTTTAATATGATCTAATATTTTGAGAAATGACTATAAGATACCATGACAGATTTCCTAAAAACAAAGTCATGTCAGGTCTTACATATCCATACAAAAGTTGAATGAAGCCTATAACCTTGAGAAGCTAAACATTTATCCAAATTATGTTACCAGTGTACCAAAACTTAAATTAGTTTGTGAAATTTCCTTCAGCTGGCCTTCATAACATTATTTATAATATCTAAAAAGACATTAGAAAGCAGAGAAAAAGTAAAAACATAACAGAAGAAAATATCCCAGAAATGAAGGATATACGCTTCCAGAGTAAGACGGTACAAATAAATGCTTGATACAATAGGTGATAATAGACCAAGACACATAGTTGTGAAATTTAAAAGCATGGTGACAAAGCTTATACTTATCCACAGAGGAAAACAAAATCATCTACATATGTGTGTGCACGTACAGACATAAAAGTATTTTCAGAGAAGATTGTAGTCAATTTTTTCTTACACGTATATGTCATCTATTCCCACAAGTCACTCTTCTTTGCCCCTCACTCCAAATTAAATAATTACACAGTTGTTTTTGCACTCAATTAAGCGATTTTATTTTTTATACCTATTAAACTTTATCTCCTTTCATTTCACTAAAAACAAAAACCAAAAAAACAACAAAAATCTTATTTATATCGAAGTATATAAAAGATTGTAAGAATGTCAAAATTTAAGAATCAATGAGGCATTATAAAAAACACATAGGGTTCATTGGTACTACTTTATCTACTTGTTAGTATGTTTGAAAATTTACTTAACGAAAAGGAAAAACGTTATTTAAAGAGGCTGGTAAGTTGCTTGTCTCTCAGTTGATTAAGGACTTAAAAAAGTGTCTTTGCTGTAGACATGAAAAGAACGTAAATTATCATTCTCAAATCTGTTCCTTTTTCCATTCACTAGTTTAAGATGGCTTCCTCATTCATTTCATCCTTACAGTACAGCAATAGCTCCTTATCTGGTCTCTGATTTCCTTTTCTCCTCCTTACATTCTAAAGTCTACCCTTCTAAAGAACACTTGTCAGTTCTTTTCCTAAAAACTAGATTTGCTCAGGCTATTCTCCCACTCAAGAACTTTCAAATGGCTTCCTATTGCCTACATAAATGTCTGCAGGCTAGTTTAAGATTAAGGTCTTTCCCATCAAGGCCCACATCTACCATTTCCAGGCTTCTCTCCTATAATATCTCTCATCTACCCCAACTCTCCTTTCATGCTCTCTGGTTTTGCTCATATTGCTCTCTGCCTACAACGTTCTATATTCCCCTCTCTTCTACTAATGAAAACTTACTCATCTTTCAGTTATCATGTTTGAATCCTTCTAGACTCTCTGCACCGTAGGATAACCCACTCTATCCTCTGAACTCCCTACTGCACTTTGATAATACCACTAACATAACATTTCTCACAATATATCATGGTTCATATATACATGTCACTCAGATCATGAGCTCCTTGAATACAGAGACCCTGTCTTACTACAGTATCTAGCACAGTGCTGTGCACATTAGAGGTGCTCAGACATAACAGGAAAATTAGGGAAGTCCTTTTCTTTCTGTCTCACCAACCCTAATAATTGTAATTCAAATAGTGGACTAGTAAATAAGAGCTTAGACTTTCTTTTTGTTGTTGTTTAAGATTTTTTATTTATTTGTTTGAGAGAGAGAGAGAGCACAAGACGGGGGAGGGTCAGAGGGAGAAGCAGACTCCCGGCTGAGCAGGGAACTTGATCCTGGGACTCAATCCTGGGACTCCAGGATCATGACCTGAGACGAAGGCAGTTGCTTAACTGACTGAGCCACCCAGGCACCCTGAGCTTAGACTTTCTTTTTCCAACTACACCTTACACAGCTGCCAGAATTACTTATACGTCACTTCCAGAATTATATCACTTATAAGGCACTTTCTTGCTCATAAATAGGCAATAATTCCTCCAACTTGTCCTTGTTTCTAGTCTTTCTAGAACTGAACCACACCCTACAAAGCCATCTCTCTTCTACTCCCTCCCAAAAAGAACTCATCCAAGAAGGCTAATTTCTTAAATAATACTCTCATCAACTATCTACTCAAGCTGAGTTTCTTTTATGCCCAAGCCATTTCCTAAACTATAATATTTTTTCTTCTGTTCTCCACACCCACAAGGTTCTGATTAAAATGGCATATAC